CAAGGACATTCAAAAAGTGACATGGATTTCACCATGCCGATCGACTTCATCTCAATGTGAAGAAAGTGGAGACGCAACCAGTCTGCTGGACACGAGATCAAGAAGAGGAGAAGGTGTAGGTTCACACCATTCACTATCTAGTGCAAGGAACATTCGAAATCAAATTGAAAGCCTTCAAAGAAGCTGGTGATAGACGACCACAGATCAAGTTCAACACCCACCTAGTACAGAAACTGTAGGTCGAAACCACAAAGGACATCTTCACATCAGCCATCAGGAAGCAATGTGAGACATTAGACAACATGATCGAGGAAACCTGTGTGAAATAACACTCGAACAGTGTGAAAGCGGCGTGGAAGGAAACCTGATATCCCTATAAGTAAGGAAGAAGAAGCAAGACAAGGAATGGAGTGATCTCAATGGATACATGAAGGCTGACAGAGGAGGGAGAGAAAGATGCTGAAGCAGAAGATGAACCAGTGCAGTGCAGTGCAGGGATGAAGAACGAAAGGAGGAACTGAGTACACCCTAACCCTAACACACTGGACAAAGAAGTGAAGAAGAGTTTGTGGAGAAAAAAGACACTCCTGAGACATACTTGCAAGTGAAGTAGAATAGACCACCGGTAGGACAGCAGAGACCTGACAACACTATACAGTTACTATCAGGGAGGGGAGAGATCAACACAGATGAAACCAATGAAAGATAGTGAAGGAAACCTAGTTACCAAAGAGGAGAAACAAAGTAAACAATGAGCTGACCACTTCTAAACACTCTTCAATCGACCACCACCAACACAACCACCACCACCACCACCACCACCAACACAACCACCTGCAACTCTTCCAGAAATACCACTATCAGCCAGCCACAGGATTACCAGTGAACACAAGCCCTCCGACAAAGTCAAGAGTGAAGTTCTGAACTCCATCAAATTGCTGAAAGCCGGGAAAGCAGCAGGATCAGATGGAATTCCTCCAGAAGCACTGAAAACAGACTCAGAGACAACAGCGGACATGCTCACAATACCACCACCACAGAAGGTTTGGAAGGAAAAAAGGAAAGATGACTGCCGATTGGTTGGAAGAAGGACTACCTCGTCAAACTCTCGAAGAAGGGAGACCTAAGTGATTGTTTGCCAGAACTGGCGAGGAATCATGCTCCTGTCCACCTCAAGCAAATATTAACCCGGATCATCCTGTAGAGACGAATAGATGCGCTGGATTCGAAATTACGACCAGAACTGGCTGGCTGGATTTAGGTAGAACAAATCATGTGGGGAGCAAGTTGCAACGCTACCTTGTGCTACGCATCATCATAGAACAGAGCATAGAATAGCAGTCAACTCTCAGTGGAAAGCTCAGTGATACCCTTGAAGTGAAGACAGGAGTAAGATAAGGCTGCCGCCTACTATCACCGGTCATCTTCCTGATTGTGGTTTACTGGATTATGCAACAAACAGTGAGGAACGAGTAGAGGGACATACGCTAGCTGGACCGATGAAAAGAGCCTAGGAGATTTGGATTTCGTCGCCGACAATGATTTGTGTCTAACGTCATGTTACACTGACTCGAAGATCTACAGGCAAAAGTCGACAAGTTTGCAGAAGTGCAGAGGCAGCGAAGACGGGATTTCAGGTGAATTTAGAGAAGTTAATTGCATATTAGATTTTTTCATTTGATTTATAACACACAATGATCTAGTATTATTTACTTGAAGACGTTTCGAGCATAAATTATTCCTCATAATCATATCAACGTGATATGATTATGAGCAATAATTTATGCTCGAAACGTCTTCAAGTAAATAATACTAGATCACTGTGTGTTATAAATCAAATAAAAAATCTGATGTGGAATTAATTTCTACCGCAGTGCCCACGTTTTACACCTTTACTAGTGTAGAGAAGACAGAGGTGATGAAGATACCCAACCAACAACAACAGAAGCCACAACAAGCCCCAATCACCATCGATGAGGGAATTCTAAAGGAAGTAGTCTCTTTCACCTACCTACCTAGGCAGCATCCTTTCAACTACAGGCGGCACAGGCACAGATGAGGATGCCAAAACCAGGATCGGAAAAGTAAGACAGGCCCTCATTAACCTGAAACCAGTGTGGATATCTACTACACTCCACTCAGCATAAAGCGTGAACGAGATCCGGATTTTCAACACCAACTTCAGTCAAGTCAGTGCTTCTATGTGATGGTTCAGAAACTTGGAGTATCACGAAAAGCATTTCCAACAAACTACAGACATTCATCAACAGCTGCCGCCTACGCTCACTCAATACTGAAGTTCAGATGACCAGAATAATAAGAATAAGCAACGAGGAACTCTGTTGCTGGCTGGCTGGCTGGCTGGCAATGAACCAACCAAGAATCCATCACCCAACAAATATGCTGTGGAAGGAAGTGGGAATGGATTGGTTTGGACATATACTGAGAAGACAGTTTGGGGACATCAGGCATCAGGAGAGGCCGTCGAGTGGAAAGCAAATGGGAAACGACGAGTTGGGTGTTACAGCTGAGGGTGACATGGAGGAGGTCGTGTGAGGAAGAAATGAGAGGTTGTTGGCGGTGGTGGAGCCAGGTTGGGAAAACTGAAGAGAAGAGAGTGAAATGGAGACGTGTTACTGGATCTCTACGTTCCATTAGGAACTCAAGCAAGAAATTATAATAAAATGAAACTGAAATTCAGTTACCTGACAAGATACATAAACAGTTGTTCCTTGTAATAATTTCCGCTGCTCAGATTCGTGAATATGAATTGGATATAGTTCCACGGAAATAAGAACCGGCCGTAATGTTAAAATAAAAGCAGGTAAATATAGTTATATTATGCACTTCGCCAAGTTTATAAGTTTTTTCCGATAAACAATATGATCTGTAGACTGTAACTGGTGTAGGCGACAAGGCGTAGTTGGATAACTGAGTTCCTACCACATTTGCAACACTATAACTCACCAATATAGGTGAAACTGCTGGAACTCCTCCGTTCAAGTTGTATTCTTATGTACACTCATAAGTAAGATGTATCTGCAACTATGAAGGAAGAAGAATACCCTCAAGGGATGGAAAGTACCTGTCTCAACATGGAAGTAAGAAGAGTCACCAGCAAGTCATTCAGGCTACAACTCACCCTAAAAGTGGTGCGATTATCAGTTAGAATCCCGATTTATCCGTGGTCGTAAATGCATCTCGCTGATGCTTTTGAGCAAACATACCACTGTCCAGTGCTTTTGTAAAATAACTCCTGATAGTCAACACTGAAATCGCTCAAGTGTCATTTGCTGTTCACTAACACATCTGTTAAAAGTGTAGGCTATATTTTAACAAAATGAAACATAAACATATTCGAAAATTTAATACGTTGTTGTTGTTGTTTTGAAAAACTGTAAATAAAAAGCGTAAAGCCAGCTTCGAACGTCAGAATGGAAGATGATTCAGCGCAGGTAGTTAGTTCTAGGGACATGCTTTTGAAACCTAATCATGACGAAAAGAGCCTCTTTCTGGATCTTAAATCATTAACAAACCTTAACTAAGCAAATTTACGTGATAATTGACGAGAGGACAACTTACTGATGTGTACAGAAATTACCAGATAAACGAAATTGTCTTTGAAGAAAAGTAATTGGAAACTGTTTTTCATGGTGATACTATTGAGTGACTAGTGAATCTGAGTAAGCGTGAATTGGAAGCGCACATATACTTGTAATGTTGCAGTGCCTATAATGACACAATTATCTCGGAGCTACTGGAAGGTATTACAGACACTCTCAATAACTTCTACTATTTTAAAGAAAATCAAATCTTCATATTTAGGAATGAACTAATGTGCCTGCAGGAACTAAAGAGACAGAAGGAATAGGGTTGTGTACTTGAGATGTGCCTGTCTTACACGAGATTCGAGATGTGTCACATACAATTCGAGAATTCGCTCTGAATCGTCTTCACCGACCGTGTGAATAATAACTTCAGTATCATTGACTTTTGAATTGTGGTATATCGTAAGAATCTCGTTCATAATTTTATCAAATAGTTTGACCAGTAATCTGCAGTGACTGTAAAGTTGATATTAAATGCAAGTTATATTTGCATAAATCTCGACGTGCTCAGAATCAGATGGTTTCAACTATTAGCTGATGAAGAATTCTGTAAGGAACAAAGTAAAATAAAAACGACAAATCGGCTGGAAATCATGACTTAACTGCTATGTGAAGTTACTTCAATTCCAGATCACTGGCTTCTTGATAAGAAGTTTTTGCTGAATGCCGCTGAGTGCCCGTCTAAATTTGTAGTTATAGCCCTCTCCTGTTGATAGCTAATTATATGGAAGTTATTACTTGCTTTGACGCAAAGATTTGTGAAAGAATCACTTGAACACAGTATGAAAATGTTTACGACAACGAGAATATGCTGTAGTTGTTAACAAACTTTTAGAAAGCAGAATGTTTTAAACCAACTTCACCTTCTATGTCTCATTCGGTTACTTCTCTCTTCTTCTGAAGATAGTTTTGTCAGGTTCCTAATATCACTTTAATTCATGTAAAACTAACAATGATTCTCGGAACATTTCAAAATAAAAAAACTGATGTGAAATCTCGGCCTATGAATCTTAAACTCAGCAACCTGCAATATGTAGTATCAATTTGTATTTTGTAACAAAAACTATTTGATTCTTCATGATTGTAACCTATCCTTGGCCAATTTATTTTTTCCATGTTCTCAACTTCATCATGTCTCATTATAAAGTCTCTCGGAACAGAATCCTTTGAATTCACTTTAAAGTTGTAGTCTTCATTTATGTAGAAATTACATTTATATAATTCAAATAAAAAACACCATTATTCAGATTGTTCGCTCCAATAAATTTCATCCACAGTGTTCAACAAATATAAACCAATCAGAATTAACTCTTAATTGAGTAGTGTTCACAAATATAATATAAAATGAATTAAAGTTTTGATATATAGCAACACTTCTCTCGTTTTTACATTTGAAAGCATCGGTGTGTTGTTGTTCTTGTCATCATTTTATTATTCAATAACAAGAAACATCTCGAGTTATAGACGACTGGTCGATAGCGATATTATCGTCAACCTCATAATAATCGTTTAAGAATATTGTACACATAATCTGCTATGGCTTCAGTTTCCAAAATCATCTATTTAATTTCCATACTTGTTGCAATAATATGCATAGCTGTATCCATTGGCATAAGTCCAGCGTGGACTGGTAAGCTGTTTATTTCATTCGTTAATTATTATGCACCCACCTTGTTCATGAAACTATTTGTCAAAAGCGATTTCTCATTTTGTGACAATGATAAATTTAGTTTGGCAGGCAAAGTTTTGATTCACCTAACATACAGTGAGTAAATCTTATCCTTGGATAGGCTCTGATTATTCAGACCACATCTGAGAAGTTAGAGGAGAGAAGCGGTTGAATGGCTGTGTAATGACCAGTGCTAATATAAGAGTAGTTTAGATCTTGGCAAATCTCAGTTTCAGTTTGCATGAATTACCATCCTTTTTTCAAACAAGACATCATTTACAATGTCAAGTTACGGAAAGCAGAGATTTTTCAGTTGTTTTTCATTTGAATTATATGGAAGTAGGCATGGTAGGCATGATCTGATTTATATGACATGTCATCGATCACTCATAGTAGTGGATAATATATACGTGCAGTTCTGCTCATTTCCTTAGTTCCAACCTTACCACCAAGCAGGAAACAGTAAGCAGTTTGAAAACTTTTACTTTGAAACGTTGTGACCATAGCAGTTCGGCAGTGGATAACAGCTTTCATCAACATAGAAGAATATTTCAAATAATTGTTCTAAATTTATTGACATTTGATTCAATAGTTTTACTTCTTTCTATTATTTATTTTACTGAATAGCGGATGCAAATAACACACCACTGAAAGCGAACGGGGGTCTCAGTGTAGCTGGATTGGTCCTGTTAGTAATTGCTGCGATACTTGCAATTGTTTTGATTTGCAGGGATTATTCAAGGACTATAGTGATTGTCATTATCGTTTTATTAGTTTTAGCCTGTAAGTCTTCAACAGATTCAGTAAATTACTATAAATTTTTACTGGTGAAAATTCAATAAGAAAAATAAATGCTTTTGTGGATTAAATTTTTGATATCATTTTCAATTTGCTTTACTGTATGACATCAATTAAAAAATACCAAATTAGCATATGAACATTCAAGTGTTTGACGTAAAGAGAATTAAAGGGAGACAGAAGAGAGACTATTTATAGAGATGGTGATTACTTGAGTAGGAACTAAACGAAAAAGCAATTCGTTCCGAAAAAAATTATTTTTATTTATCACAAAACAGTTCCAAGCCTTCCATACAGATGTGAGTAAAAACACCATAAATGATTTGAAACTCTCATCAGAATGCTTCCTGGTGAAGTTAAATATTCTTAAAAATTTTTTGTTTACTAGAAAAAAGTTTCAAACTTTTTACAAAAGTCTAACTGGATTAAAGCGACATTTTTGAAGGGAATAATAAAATTCTACCCAATTTCGAGGCGAATTTTCAGTGTACTATGATATTTACACACCACTTTTCTTTAAATCTAACTTTTGTGCTCTCCAGGTTTTAATTTGTTGCTTGTGATGCAGTCATTAATATCTTGTTAAAGGTTGACATATGTATGGTGTTTTACATCACTACTCCTAGTTAGGTCTCAGAACAAATGAGATATGTCTGAAAATGCAAAATAAAATGATTCATCAGTATCTGAATTGATACTAATACTAATTTCAGCCGGTTTTTATGGGAAGTGTACAAAGTGTAGCTGATGATTAGTTTTATTTCAGTGAATTATATTTTTTGTAATTCATGATGTAGCTTATAAGTTAAGTAAAATTTTAAACGGTAGGGAAACATTCACCGTTTGCCTAATTTTAGGATGGAGACTTAATCTTTGTCTTAAAAATATGTTCAGTGAAATTTATATGGTCTTGAGTAGAAGACTGTAGTTATCTTATTCTTTGAACCGACATATTTCAATGACTTTTTTCCTTCAGAGTTATGGTCTTCGGTGTTATGCAAGATGCGAGAAATCTCCTATCTAGATTTCGCTTATTATGAACGCATCACCATGTTACTTATCTCCGAACACAATGCTTAGTTTAACTGATAGTTGATTCAGATTGTGCCACCAGAGGTGGTCCCAAAGACCATTATCTATTCAGTTGTAATCAGTTTCAATCATAAAACTTAACCAGTTGCCTTGATGCTCTATAAATAGCGCTGTAAATAAAAGTGGGGATGTGTCATTGAGTTACCTATCCAGAGTCAGAATCTTATTTCCAGGTTGGTAAATAAAAGTCAGTCAAATCTGATGAGTAATTAAGTGTGTTCCGTCAGTCATGAATATGGTATTTAATAAAAATGCAAACATGCACTACGCTGTCAATTCAGAACATTAAAATTTAATGAAGTGCTTAGATGTACGTATTGTAAGTTGGTGACTAATGGTTTTTCCCTGTACACTAAACTTACTTGGCACTTCGGTTAACATTTGTTCTTTGTCAACAATTTATTATGATCATTCAATCAGGTGAAAACAATTATGAATCATTCTAGTTGTCAAATAACCTAGTGGTTGGCGAAAAAGAGATGCAAAATGAATAATTCAAATGGCTTTTTCGTGTTCCCTGAATGCAACTTTCTTCTGAATCAAAAAACTGACTGACCTAAAAGTGTCACAGTCACTTCTTGAAATAAGTAATGATATCTGAAGACCGTATACCAATAGTGATGAACTCTGAATAATGGGTGAAATACAAAAACAGATCATTGTCACGGGTTGATAGCATTAGTCAATTTTTTGTAGAGCATTTCTAAGCACCTAGACTGTTTCGGCTTCGTGTTTGAAATCAAAGTAATCATTCCTAATATCATCACATAACTATTGATAGAAAGAAACTTAATTGACAGACAGCACTTGTTACAGTTTAAGTGGTATGGAAGTAGGATAACATTTTAATCCGTAGAAGTATGAATTATACAAGGAAGTGCTTCATGATGCTGTTATGATAGTTATAATTTCCCGTTGCTATACACAGCCGAATAGCTCAATCTCTGTTGGCAGATGAACTTCTTCAGCTTATGCCTCGATACTGCTAGATATTCATGATGTTATATTCATCCTGTTGACTAGCGGAGGGATCCAAAACGTGCCTTTTGTCCTATTTTGGACTTGTCCGCTAGATGTATCTGCACTCCATCTGCCAACATAGTTCGAGCAGTTCGGTCGTGTATAGAAATGGGAAATTACAAGTATCATAAATACAGCAACTAATACCCATTGCACAAGATGTGGTTGTCGTGTCCAAGTAGCCTAGTAGACAGCACTTTGGCGTCTGAAGCGATGTACACTGAGTTCGAGAGTCACTGGATTCAAATATCAAATATCCAGCTGACGAGTCCCGAACAGAACAGAATGCACATCCTGTATCCCAATACAAGTCAATAAGGGAAAAATAGCCTCATGATGCTGTTTAATACACACTGTGATAAGTATATACTTGAGAGTATCAGTGTACAAAATTGTCGACCCAAATAAGAGTAGAAAAGCTGGAAATATTCAACCCATAATGCTCATGAGATAATTCTATTCAGTATAGAACACCAATTCTGCTTGCTTTGGAAAATCAATAGCTATCAAAAAATTTTAATTAAGTTTTTAGTCATAAATGGACAATAATTTACCAAACATTACTCTAACGGCTGTGCCTCAAACGAGCAAAATCACGTTCTTATCTCTTTAGAAAGATCTCACCACTCAGGTCAATAAACTAGTTTGTTTCAAAATTATTTTAGGTGTAAACGTTCTATTCAGCTTTAGTTCAAGATGTTTCTTGTTGTTTATTCCAATGAAAACTCTCAGATTATGAATGAGCTGTTCCCTGGTACCTCTTATTTTCTACGAGGTATTGAGATATCAGTTAATAATAAAAACTATATTTGCAACAAATGATTTCATGTTTTTGCCTTTTTATATATTCCCATATAATTGATATTTTTGTTTTCTTTCTCTTTAAAACATATTGGTAGTAATATGCTTTATTGCTGCGTTGGCTGTTTATGGTCAAGGAGTGAACTGGCAAGCTTGGCTTCTATCAGCTATGTGGGTGACATTTATTTGCATTCTTATAGCAATCATGTTCTTATTGATTGATGATGATTAAGTTTTGTGTTATTATCATGTTCTGAGACTTCAACAGTGAAAAAGGAAGGGAATTATGATAGCAATTATGATATCTCTTCAAAAAACTGTGCACCTTCAAAAAAACTACATTTATTTATACAAGAACAAGTGGATTCATTTCTTAAGGTACTATTTTCTTTCCTTCTTATTCACTTTCTTTGCTCACTTAGACCCACTAAATGCATTACAGCCTGTTTATCAGCTCTTTGATTTATTTTAAATTCTATCGGGTGTTTCGCTTCATTTCTTCTGAACTTGCCTTTTTGAAGTTTAAGTGGTTTCAATATTTATTATGCTACTAATTTCACTGAGAATGGCAGGTCAGAATATTTCCCATATCTGGGTGTCTGTGCCTTCGAAAAGTGGTATACCTTATCATTAAATGTTGATTAATAAAATGTGATTATGTTGCAACTACGATTCCCAAATGTTCCTTTTACTCTTATCCTTTTGTTTGTGTATAATGCGACCCTTACGACAGTGAATATATTAAAAAACGGAAGAGAATTGTTGAAACACTCCAAATAGTATTCATTCGCACTTCTATCACTCATTGCTCAATAATCACGGTAATGATAAAAGAACCTTTACAATGTTAATTATATTTTGGACTATTCTTATGGCTTCATGAAATGTTTTAAAAACCAGTTGTTTGGGAGTTTTTAATCATGCATAAAATCTAGTGATATACTTTGTCACTATTATTCATATATGTTTTATCTATCGTTTTCTACAGTTTATTATTACTTTAAATATATGTAACACACGGTTGGAATTGTTTATGTTACAGTATGCTTTATGGTAAATAAAACACTTGTTGTATAAAAAGATTGTACATTTGATTATTTGTTTGATTAGCTACGCTTTTATATCAGATCGCAAGTAAACAGTACGAAGAATAATTATATAGTGAACTTATCACCATTATTCAGTGCAAAAATATACAATACAGTCGACTGAATCTATTCTAATTTGATGATCATTCTGCACTGATGTATATCACTTTTTGATGACATAATTAAGGTTATAAAAATTTCAAGAATGTGACTAAATATTCTGTCATGGTGTAATCTATTCATGTCAAGGCTAAATATGGGTTAAAGTAGTAGTAAAACGATTGAGATAGGCTTGTAAATAATTGGCTGATGTATTTTTTATGGTAATCATCGTATACTAATATAATTATGACATGAATTTATGAAATAACAGTTCAGCTTGTCCTTAATTTAATATTTGTTTGGTAGAATACTCTTTTTTAGATACAATGTATTCAGCAAGTCAAATATTAGTAAAACTCTAGAGAAAGCCCTCAGAATATGTTAATCGAGAAATTTTGAATGACAATCTAACATCGTTTGATGAACCAATGAAAGCAGGGAACGCTGGATAACCCTTTCACTTTTTAAAGTATTTTCCTTCACAACAGATGTGTGATTCAGCGTACTCAGTAAGTATCTATCTTCGTTGCTTACTTTATTGGGTTCAGAGGCAAAATATTATTGGTATTTGAAAAGACGTATCACTACATTTTGGGCCAATAAGTCAACCTTAATGGCTAGAGTATGATTTATACAAATCCTAGATGTGATTAGAAGGAGATAGGTGACCAGTTCTTCCCAGTTTCATTGGTTCTGAAAGCTGTAGAGGTTGGTGACTGAAATTATTTTCAGACTAATTAGTACCTCAAAGCCAACGTAGCGAATAAAACCATCCATATAAAGTGCTCACTAAATGTTCAAGAGTGACTGTTTTTACATAACTTACTACCGATAACTTCAGCAAAGAAACATTCATCGTGTTCAAACTGCATTGACACTGTGGTGGCTGTTTACTTCTTATGTAGAAGGGACAGCAACTCAATTAGATTAATTCCCGGGAGATATATTTGCTGAATAATCCCCTCACAAGTATTTTTCACTGAGGCACGTTCAGTCGATGCTGCTGCTTTGGAATAGCTAATTTATGCTGAAAGTCATAGAAGTTGATTGGCTTCCTCTGAACGTCTTTTGAATGATTAACGAGGTTTAATCCTGAAAAACAATGCACTAACCAAGCGTGAACTGAGTAATATTCTCCCTAAAGATCTTTGTCTTGTTAGTGTTGATTAAAGTGTTTAGAATACTGAAAGAAATCCTTTTTATCCCTTTCAAATACTCCAATCACGAGAAGTAAGAGAATAACATCCAAACACCATAACTTAATATAGGTTATTTACACACTGCAAAATGACTAGAAACAATTCTGACGAGTCTTCTGGTTGTAGAAATATCGTTAACAAAGGTGGAAATTAAATACAACTTATTCTTTAATTAAAATCGATATGAATATGAAATCAAAAATGAGTCTATTTCACATATGATAACCAAATTATGGTTTTTTTAGAATGTTACCCTGAAATTGTTCTACCGCTCTGGTAGCTTCATGTATTTTCCTTCATACACTGTACAAATGTGTTTTATTTTTTTATCATAGGTTCATCGTTGGGACATGTTCAAAAGGATAACATTGTTTTTCTATCTTAAGGTGAATTTTCAGCTAATTTCAGTAAATGATAATAACTTATCTAAAGAGTTTCACAAAGAAAGAGTGACTATAATCTCAACCAGCGTGGCGAATCCAACAACATTTACAATTATACATTAGTCGGTTTCTTTTCAACAGAAAACATTTTAAACAAGTACAAATTTCCGTGTTTCTTTAGTACTTTACGTGAGATTTTTCAGGCATGGTTTTGAGTGATACTGGATTATCGCTCAGAACTATTGTTTTCTGTTATTTTTGTATTATTTTATAAACAAGTTTAAATAAAAGCCTTTCAAATTGGATCAAGCAGTTTTCTTTCTTACTGCTAAATTAAATCTTTATCTAACTCAATTTTTCTCCGAAAGTTTCAATGCTTATTTACAATCCTGTGATATATAGTTATTATGCCCGAAAAGTGTGTTTAAGAACTGCATTTTCCAGCTTCTCATTAAGTTATGACATTTGTCTATCTGCTTACGAGGCGATCATCCATTTGGAACAGTCAGCTGAAATAGGCATGGACTAAAGCTCTACTTAAACTTGTCTTATCATAAAAGACAGTTTTCGAAGGTATTTCAAAGAAAATAATCAAAAACAATTTGTTAGACGAAAGCAGAACTGTAAAGTAGGCTGGTACGCAATGCAACCCAAAATTTAAAGTTAAATTCTTGAAATAGTTTTTGCATTTCTTTTGACCAGAGTTTCGAATAAAGAATGGGAACTATAAAAGCTGTTTAATGACTTGAACATCTGTTAACCGATTGGTGAACCCACAGTTTTGCATGACTGTCAATTCATAATATCATTTAAAAGCATGATTTTTGGATTACTCGAAATTGGCGGAACTTCTTTTCTTAATCTAATGCACGAAACAATCGAGATAAATTTCAACCAGAGCTAGCACAACAGAGTTCGCCGAACAAAGCAAGCCCACATTTTGATGGGCTTTCCATCATTCACAAATAGCTCAAGGCTAAAGTAAACCACAAGATTAGTAAACGGGCATCATACCTACAAATGCTAAAGCTTAAAGCAAAATTCACAGGAAACAAGTAGATTGGTTGTAAAATGTGTGGCTATTCCTTTATTCTAATCTTTGTGGGGAGTGAATTGAAGATTTGATCAGCCTCTGGTTTTTATAGCTTAACTAGCACGCAGCCTGCTCGTTATCCACTGACAGCTTGTTAAATTCTTTTCGCAACCCTGGTTTCAATTTCACTGTCAGTCATGACTCCATATCTGTTATACTGGTTTGCCAAGCCACAGTTGCCTCAACTGCAATAGGATACAATTCATCATAGATCATAAGTCATTTTAGTGAATGCGTTGGTCATTATTAAGTCTGCATGTCAAACAAACAACATCTTAATCCCGTTGTCCTACTGAGATGAAAAAACCTTTTTGAATATAGATAAGGAATCATTCAACAAGATATTTTGTGAGAATCATACGCTCTAGTGTAAAGGTGAATTTTGAATGACGTGAGTAAGAACTGATTATTTGTGGCAGTGTCTTGGATTTGTTTGTACGCTCAACAAAGATATAATTTATATATCACTGGTATAGCTCCGTCTGCTGTACGGAATATTTCAAGATACCAATAGGAGGTCACACCACAATAACATAAATCTGACGAAATAAACAAAACGCTGAACGCAAACTGGGCATTTTTAGTAGATCAAATTTTATGTTTCATGAAGTAGTCCTTTAGGACAGGGGTATCTTCTTTTTTCTTACTATCAGAATCAGTCTCTCTCAGCATGTACATCCTTGAACAGATGAGCAGTCTCGGGTGAGACGAGATATTTACTAATAGTGACAAAAACAGAGAAATTTATGCACAATAAGAAGATATTAGATATGGTGTTTGAAGTTGTCAAACCAAATGTCTGGTTATAAGAGGATATTGTGGCTGACTTGAAGGTGCTAAGGCAACAACTGCAACATAATGTAATCATGTATGCTCCTGTTTTACCAGTCTTACCTATTTAAGGTCAGCTCAAAGCCACCCGCCAATGGCGCAGCTTCCAATTGAAGGCATTTGAGTTAAGATGATGTATGCATCAGGCTGTGAACTCCTACTGATGCGGAACGCTTGAAAGTCTCGGGTAAATATCCTTATCTACTCAGTCGAGACGACATCTAGGGCCCAGTCTGAGTTATCCCACTATTCACGGCTGCAGCTCATACCTGTCGCTGGATTAATAGCAACACCCGTCTCACCTCCCTTATTCAGGTGATATCTAGGCATTTCAGCCTTTTCTACCTGCGTGGTGTCAGGTTCAGGAATCAATCGGTGACTGTTCCCGAAGGACCATTCTTCAGCCAGGAAGGACAATATACGCCTCATCGTTGTGGGCATTCGGTGATGACTGCTGGTGCAACCACTAGGTTGAATCTCACTGCTGACTTGCAAAAAACTCCGAAGATGATAGGGAAGCACGCCGACCAACTCGATCGTTCTCTAGAGAGACCTTCATCATACTTTGCTAGCTTTTTCACACTCTTCTGTTACCCAGAGAAGCACGTTACACATTCACCTAGGCAAATAGGTTAATTACCTTAGAGTGTTTTTGAGAGTTCTATTAGCTCTAATATTACTCACGCTAATAAGGTTTCTTCGCTTCGAAACCCTAGGGCTGGACAGAAAGACGGTGGATCGGTTCGTAGGTTAATATCTACTTGTCAGTGAGAACCACGAGAAAGTCAACCGCTTGGCAACTAAGCCGGAAACAGTATAGCCATCAGGATCACCAGTAAATCCAGCTATCCAAAAAAGAATAACTGAGTGTACGTCGTCGGTTAGGTATTCATATGCATCACTAACTCGATTAAGAGCTATCTGGTTAAACACATTTTATTTTTGTCTCAGCTCCATGTTCCAGGTCAGGCATTCGTTCGCTCGAATGTTGTCATCTCATGGAACAGGAAATATCTCTTCG